GTATGAACGGCTAGCTCACTAAATACATTGGCAATATTCCTTGAAATTTATAACTGAAGACGGGTAGGTCGGGTTTCTCAACGGCCATTCGCATGCATGAATGACCCCGAGAGCTAGCATATATACACGCAGACAAATTATTCCTGCACGTATTTGTCTTGGGGCTACGGACTGAACAAGACTTAAACGTCTTCTAAACCTAATAATTTCGTAAGGTAATAAGTTATAAGTTTTATAGGATTAAGTGAAGTATTATGAGGTGCCTTGTTTTGTTCTTCATCTCTTTGGGTCTGGCGTTGCCATTTCCTCGACCTCCTTACCGTGGTGCTGAGAACCTTATAGGATTAAGTATTGTTCAGTCTGTAACCCCAAGAAAAACAGGAAAAATACGGGCAGAAATAATTTCTTTGCGTGTAGATTAGCTAGTCTCGGGGTCATGCATGCGAATGGCCGTTGAAAACCCCAACAAACGTCTTCATTTATGGATTTCAAGGAATATTTAATGCCAATGTATTTAGTGAGCTAGCCGTACATACCGAAAGTAAAATGATAATTTTTGCGAGTGGACCGCTGCAAGGTTTCACTTTTTCAGGTAATTTTGTACACAGTCGGCAACGAGACGTCCACCAAAACTTAGGTTTTGTCTAGACGCTTTTGCGCTGAAGGTCACGTGTGACCGCTGGAAGATGTGGGTGGAGCTGTCAAGCAATTTCTGTCACCTTAGTGACATTATACGACCCCCGCTTGAAACGAATTCGTTGTATGAAAAGCCGACAGTCGTTTTCTCGCCTCAAACGCCCTACGGGCGTGTGAGGCTCGCGCGCTTCATACGCGAGGATCGCGCCTTCCGAAAACGTCCGAAAACGACTGTTTTGCAGTCTACGCGAAAATATGCTCGGATATTTGTCCTTGGCAAAAGATTATGTCCTTAGATGTTATCTGTTCCTCAAAGCTCACAGTTTACGTTCGCTTCTTGGAAGAGATGATGTCCGCGGACAAATATCCAAGTATATTCTCGCGACCAAATGGGGCGATTTTGTATTTAGCTGACATAGTGTTCGATGATGTAAAGTTTATATGAAATAATTCATATATGAACTGCGGTTGTAGATGACAGTGAAGAATGATCATCGCAGTTA